ATTTTCTTCTGCCGATTTTTAGAATTAAATTTCTGTTGAATGATAAGGTAATATTCTAATGGATTTTATAAATGTGTGTGTGATAAGTGGTGATTTTGCAAGCAAAATAAATGTCGTAGTGGCCTGATTAAGACACCCGCTTATCTGCTTCACGCGCATGAAGGTGTTTGAAATCTGGAGAAAACAATGAGACATTTTGCGAGTTATGAATATGTTCTTAAGTATGTTCTTCTTAAAATTTTGTAGAACTGACACATGGTAAATGCGCACGCGTGGTAATTAATACTTATGCCTTCTCCATGTAAGAAGATGCCTTTGCTGAGGCGTGCGAAAGTTAGTTGTAAAATATACCGAACTCAAGTTTATTGGCAACTTATTATTAAAGTGGCAAAAAGGGTTTATTCTCATTTTTAAGCTGAAACTATTATCCATTAGCTTTCCATCTAATACTTTACCAAAACAATGCAAATATTTTGCCGTAAAAAAAACATTGGTAAAAATATTTTGATGAATTTTAACTTCAAAAGCATAAATTCGGATTCGGTACACGTTAACGTCTTAATGGAATACTCTAGTCACATAATAATCAGGTGATATACAGGTATTTTTCATATTTCCAGGAATTCTAAGAAATATTTATTGTTTACTTGGTTTCTTTTGATCCCGGTTTATGAGACTTGAGTCGTAAATCGGAGATTAGGGTGATGTTTTCGTAAAATCGTATCAATGTTCGTCTCTGAGGATGAGGGAGTTGATATGTTCGGCAGATATTGAATAATTTAACAGGTTTATATTTTTCACCATGAAATTTTTATCGCCTTGTGTATTTGTTTTAACATATTTATCTACTTACGTTACAGACGAAAAAAAAATTAAGCTATGAATGGAAGTTTACTATATAATAATATTTTGAATAATGAGACAAATAAGATTTTGAATAATGATAACGGTGAAACATCCAACGATAGGTTGGCAAGCGAGCAAAAGGATCACCTGGTGGTAAGCAATCAGCACCGCCCATGGACACTTGTAATACCAAAGGACTACTAGTGCCTGCCTCTTTCTGGCTTATAAGGGATCTAAGGATAGGTAGGAGATTTGAAGATTGAGGATGGGAGGGCGAGGATTGGGCCTCCGGTAACCTCACTCACACGGCAAAACACAACAATAGTGTTGCTTCACGCTAGTTTTCTGTGAGACCGTGGTATCACTCCGGTCGAGCCTGACTATTTGTTCCGAAGCATGGATCTCCCACACTTCGCGCTCTTCCACACTGATTGAAAATATACATCAGAAATCATGGAACGTAGTGTCTGTCGAAACATTTAAACATTTTATATTGAAAATTTGTTCCATACATCAATTCCATTTACATAAATGTATTTTACTCAAATTAATATGACACGTGTGTTGTGTGTCAGAAATGATAAGAGGTTTTTATAGTGGGATGTAGTGGGATGAATTTGAAAACACAAAAAAACAAACTTGCTAAATTAAATTAAGAAATAGACAATATTCTGTCAAATTGAACTAATGGAATTCAGGAAAGAAATTTGACACTTCAATTAACATGCTTTTTACCATTGTAAGTAATTTTTTCTCTTAATGAAAAATTTTCAGACTGTTACTGACCAAAAGCACTCCATTCCAGCTCCTGCTCCAAACTGGGCTACGGTATGTCATTACGCATAATAACCCCTTCTTATAGAGTGGAAAATCTACAAATGAATTTTCTCGCCCAGGGTGAAGTGGAAGGGATTGGCAGACTTCCTGACTAAAAACCGTATCGTCCTGTTCCAAACTGAGGCCGCGGTACCTTATTGCGTTTAACCCGAAACTAATCCACAACCCTATTTTTGTGAGGGGAAAGTCATCAAGTGACTTCTCCCGCCCAGGTTGAGGCCAGAGGGAGTCTCTTCCTGACTAAAAACCGCATCGTTCCTTCTCCTGTTCATGCCGGAGCCGGGGTACATTATTGCGCTTAACCCGCAACCACCTCGCCACCCTGTGGATCATTATTTGTAATAACCTACACTTTCATCAGAGCTACCTAATACACTGAAGTAAGAGCAGCCTGTTACAAAATTAATAGGATTCTCTGGCGTTACTGTCCCTTGACGTCTCAAGCACTCATTAACAGGGTGCTTGAAAGAATTTAATTAAGTCTTAAACGACACTTTTATATCACGTCTGTGTGTAAAGAGGGTATTAGTTGAGCAGTGTCGCTTCCTGGACTAAGTTGATATGGAGGATTATAAGTTATATTCCACCAAGTTTGATTGTTGCTTGTTCTTTGGCTGATGAATATTTCTGAAACTTTTAATAGATATTATCTGGAAGAGAAGAATTTGCGTAAAAAACAAGAATCGATCTAATGCAAGTTCAGAAATAAAGACCAATTGTTTAAAACTTAATGGGAAGGCACCCTTTTCTTATTAATGTGGTTGCGAACAAGTACCAATGTGATTTTTTTCGAGTCTTTATAAAAGGTGAAGCAAAACATCGTTAAGAAACCTGGACTTGTCTCACTATAATTTTGAAATCGCTATCTAATCCACCCTGAGCAAGCGTGGTGATTAATGCTCAAATCTTCTTTGTCTGTAAAAAAGCCCTCGCTCAAATGGGGACCTAGCTTAATAGGCTGATGATGTCATGAAATGACACAGTATTACGTTTACAGAAGCAATTTTTAATTCTGTAGTGTTAATTAAAAAATTATTGTTATTCATTTCAGTAACCACATGATACACTGTGTATTAGATAATATGCGTACCTTTATAAATACTGATTCATATTACATTTACAAATTGAGTCAATTATATTCTTGCCGAACAACCTTTGTTAAAACTTTACACCGAGATTTAGAACAACAAATCTTACTTAAACTTCCTATTTAATCATAATTTAAGTGAAACATTCACATTTGTAATGTTGGAAAAAACAATTTTCATATTTTACAGGAAGGCATTAGAGTGAAATTGAAAGTTGAGAACAAGGAATTATGGAGTGAATTAGCTACGCCGTCGTAGCAGCGTAGGCTTTTGCTACAGAGAGCTTAGCAGGTTGCTACGATTATACTCGGTAATTTACCAACATCATTCTTCTTGTAATCGTGCTGAATGTTTTTGATTTTTGTTTCTCAAGCCTAATAATTAAATGCTATAAAGTAAAAATAAAATATACTTTTATCACCATAAGTAGGTAAGTCTTTTTTTCGTTTTAACACATCTTTTGTTGATAAGTATTTAGTTTATTTCCGGAATCTAAATGACATCTCAGATCAGATCGTCCCGTCAGATACAAGTATACCTTTTGCAATTAGAAATTAGAATATGATAATTATAAAATTGTATGAGGCATCAGTATCTTGTAACTTGTACTAGGTACCATCAAATTTTTAATCTTTACTGTATGATAGATAAGACCTAAGTGGAGGAAGATTTTTAGTCAGTAAGAGTCAGACACTTCCTTTCGCCTCACCCTGGGCGACGAAAATCATTTGATGATTTTCGACTTTCAAAAAAAATGGCATGTTATAACAACTATATGTTTCTGGTACTAGGTACCATTATATACCAGCACAATTTGTGCTATTTTGAGTAAGAAAAACAATACTTTTCCATAAACACCACATAACGCTGTGATTGTTTTACGCCGGTTCCTATGAGGCCGTGGTGTCACTCCAATTGAACCGACCTATTCGTGCCAAAACTTGGCTCTTCCACGCTTCATTCTTCTAAGAACACGTACTTTTAGCATTGATATCCATTACTCTCAGTACTAAGTAAATATTGCCTCGGCACTCAACAGGTTTCATCATCCGAGCACTAGACGTCTAGACATGGTTTTAGGTGTAATGTGGCGATAATGGTATATAATATTTCATAGTGCTACTCCGCTCCAAAAATATCGACCTAATTTTAGCTGATTCTTTTTTGAGCTCCTATTCTCGCCCATTAAATACGGCATCTTAGAAAAATATGTACAAAATAATAATATATTATTACCTACTGGAGAGCCATGCTTTGGCACGAATGGGTCGGCTCGACCGGAGTGATACTACGGCCTCACAGAAAACCGGCGTGAAATAACCACAGCGTTTTGTTTCGCCGTGTGAGTGAGGTTACCGGAGGCTCAATCCCTTCCCCTCCCCCAATCCCTCCTCAATCCCTGAGTCTCCTAATCCCTAATTCCTAAAAGGTAAGCAACGCACTCGTAACTCCTCCGTTGCGGGTGTCCATGGGTGGCGCTGATTGCTTACCATCAGGTAATCCGTCTGCTCGTTTGCCGATCTATTACATAAAAAAACCTACATAAGCATTAGATGTTATTATTTTAAGATATGTACAGTTGTGATTCAAACAACTAATTCACCGTAATGTGTATAGTGAAATTAATTTTGATAATCATATTACTGTTGATTGTACATGTTTACCTTCTTGTCACGTATTTATTTGCACAGGACGATGTGTTACTCTATTAAGTAAATAAAATACCTAGTAATGGTAAACAAGTTTACTGTACTGTTTTTGTCCGCAAAATCGAGATGGCGTTAGTAGTACAATTAGAAGTAATTATACTTTCAACCAATAATTGTAATAATTCGAAACAAAATAGAAGAACAATGGGTACGCGAACGCCAGCGTTCGTGGTGTCTTAAACTCGGATTACCCGTATTGCGTTTTGATTTTTGTTTAGAACTGATTGATTGTTGTAAGTAAATTTCATTTTACTCCTGTCATACATACGAAGTTCTCAGATTCTCTCATCTCATTAGAAATAGTTTGTTTTTTTACATTCAGGTTTGTAAATCACATTTTTTATACTTAATTGATCATGTCTCGAACCTATGACATGCTATAACTGCTACCCAATACAACAAAAATAAAACACCTTTCATAATCTTATGCAAACTGCAAAATAATGTATTCAATAAATTATATAATACAATTCACTACTGAATAAACTGACCATCTTTTATGTCTATCTTGGTTGGATGGACAAATGTTGAGCCACGCTTCTTTCTTTCAATTGGCAGAGGCTGAGACCAGATTCGTTCTAGTTCAAGGTTTTGTTAAAGTAAAGACGTGTTATTTCTTTATTTTCGTCTCCCAAAGATGGTTCCTTTTTAGTGAACTGTAAAATGGCTGAGGTGATCAGTTATGGTTCCAGAAATGGATCCTGGCGGCGTTCCTGTAAAGAGGTTGATGGATTATGAAACAAACAAAATGATTAAATGTACAAAAGTGATACATAAATCCTAATCAATTAAAAGATTAGTAAAGATAAGTAACCACTTTTAGTTTCGTTCGACACGACCTCACTGAAAACGTGCGTGGAACAACGCTCTCCTGATATTTGACCGTGTGAGTCACTCAAATTTCTCACACCACCCTCTCCTGAATCCTTAAAAGGCCGGCCAACGCACTTACAACTACTATGATGTTGGAAGTATCCAAGAATGCCGATTGCTTACCATTACGTTATCAAACTGCTCGTTTACTATAACTGCATACAAAAATAATAATCGTATTTACTTTTCTATGCATCTGGTTGAACTGGTGGTTCCACGTCAGGTTTCTGACACATGTATGCTCCGCATCGGTTGGGACAGCACTTGAGGGCTCGCGGGCAATCAGAGTCAGTTGTGCACATGTCTGTGCAAACCCAAGGTCCTCGAGGTTGCTCTGGACAAAGACCCGGCTTCACTGGAAAAATTGGAAAAATGGATTTTTATCGGATAGAAAAAAATATCCGTCAGCAATTTCCTTTCTTCTATTCGGTTTTTGTAATTTAAATCATATTATACAATAAACTGTAAGCATAAAACAAGTTGCAATATCAAAATATGTTTTTCCTATTGATAATTTTGCAATAGAAACTTGATTAAGATTGTTTGTAATAGCATTAATATAGACTTTAGACTAAGTTAACATTTATTTAACATAAATAATTTTAAATGTCTGTATAGACACGAAGGACAAACTCTTGTTATAATGCCTACCATTTATTGTAAAATACCTGTTACATATTGACTAATAAAAGATTTCCATTTCTATTATAAGTTTGAAATTGCAAACCCAATTTGAACAAGTGTGAAATCACTAATTCGCCTTTGAGCAAGCTTGATGTTGATGATGAATACTCAAACCTTTTCTGCGTTAAAGGCAGCCTGGTCTACAGTAGGCTTTTTTAAGCTGAAGTAGACAAGTATGAAAGATGTACAAAAATAACACATATACTCCAACTAACCCACATCTACAAAATGCCTCTGTGTCACAGCGTCCACACACATGGCTCCCCCACAAGCTGTGGGACAGCACAACTGTTTAGGCTTGGTGCACGGAGACTCTGGTCCACATGTTGGATCACAAATGTCTACAGGAAGGGTTGGGGGGCAGGAACCGATGATCTTAGCGGGTTCACATGACGAGATACCCACAAGGGAGAGAGCTGGAACACAAAAATAAAAGCGTTAAATTTAAAAAAAAAATGTGCTGTTATTTACTGTAGGTTTCTGAATCTTATGTACTAAGTAATAGAGACTTTTATTAAAACGTCATAAGAAATTAGCAAAGCCTTTGTGGTCTTTTAAATGTTCTGTAGTCGTTCAATTATAGGTACGAGCACAATAATAGATCTTAGCCCCGGCCTAAGAACAAGGGACGATCTCCGGCCACCTTAAGCGCGAGTCTGCGGTCGGCGAGTAAGAGCAGCTCGCCGCCTGAGCAGAACCAGACCCGAGCGTACGGCGAGTAGCGTTCCGCGCGCCTCAAAGAGCCAATAGACCACCACAGACGGGGCCCTATAGGGCTGATGTTCAGCCGGGGTTGTGGGGTAAGCGCTATGAGTCACCGCGGCCCAGAGCAGGAGAAGGAGGGGGTGGTTAGTCAGTAAGAGTCTGACACTCCCTCAATCCTGGCCCTGGGCGGGAGAAGTCATTTGAGGATTTTCCCCTTACAAAAAAAAGCCCCGGCCTGAGAAAGAACGGGGTGGTTTTAACTTAGTAAGAGTCTAACAAACTCGCTCACACTCATGGCGTACATTGGTGATTTTCCTCCCTCAATAAAAGTTAAGCAAACAAACACCCAGCTACTTTATTGTCATTATCAAAGGACCCTTACTCCAATAAACAATTTACAACCATCTCAATGATCAGAATTTCATAACTTTTGATTTTAAGTCTAATATTCGAGCTGGGTGCAGAGCCCTCACATAATTTATTTATGCCTTCTTATGGATCTCATTGCTATTCAAGAATGCTCAGTCAACAATAATCTTAGGTTGAACAAAACATTGACTTATTATTGTCGGGAGCGAAGATTTTGAGAATTCAGCTTTCATACAAATTGAAAGTTCTTAAGAAGCGATTAGGATGTTTTCGTTTGAATTATTATTGAATATTCTTAATATGAATTGGTAATTATGATGTTTCGTTCTTGATTTCTAAGATTTTAGGTGACATTGAATTTGAAAGGCTGGCAGGCAAACAAAAAATTTGTTGTCAAACTATTTTCGTTGTTAAAAAAACATACAAGTAGTTATATGAGATTTAATTAGAGACTGGGTGAGGTGTTTTGTTATTTAAAAATATAACATAGAGTTGAAACAGCAATCCAGAAATTTGACTTGCTCTGGCCTAAGACACAATAACACAGCCTTTAAGTATGTATAAGGACCAGGTGAAACAGTGTCATCCATTTTGAATTAAAGACTATTAGTTATACTAATAGTATATGATGTTTTGATACAAAGACGGCTAAATTGTCAACAAGCGCAGTATTTTAAACAATTTAAGTCACAGTTTACAATGTAATTTCTATAAATAGACAACAATTATTACAAATCAGGAAAAATTTTGTATAATAACTTTTCTTATTAAAGCAATATTATAACCGAATATAGGTATAGGTACCTAAAGCTTTTTCAAAAACAAATATGTTAAAACACATCACCTCAATACTCTACTTCTATGACAATAACAGGAAAATAAATAAATATTATATTTCAATTATTATATTAAAATAAAATAATAATATAATCTTACCCAATAATAATACGACGTAAAACATTTTGTACACACTCACTGGTAAACGAATGATTTGTAATTGTAAGTCAGTGTGATTATCGCGAACCTATGACACAAATATTGTGATTCACGGACGAGTAGAACGGACAATTTGTTAAATGCTTTATTAATAAAAAATATCGTTTACGTAAGTGACTGTCCATGTCAAGATTAGGAGATTTCAATATTTTTTAAAGATGTTAACAACAAGAGTTTAAAATATATCGTCATCACGCTTGCTCATAAAGGATTGGCGATTTCAAACGTATAATTTATAAATTACTAGCAGACCCAGCCACACGTTGCTGTGGCTAAGGTAAATAATATTGTGACTATAAATTGAGATGTAAGCTATCCTATCTTTCAAGTTGGATCAAAACGCACACGGAATGCAAATCAAATTTAAAATCGGTTTAGTAGTTTAAGAGTCCATCACGGACAAACACGTGAGTACGTGACACAATATTTTTATATATAAAGATATGTCTCGATTTCCTCCAGATGTTTTCCCTCACCGTATGTCAATAATGTCAAAAAAATCTTAGATAGTTACTCGATAAAAGTCACAATAGTACTTGTCAGTATTCGAATTCACACCCTCATGCATGCAGCCCTAATGTCCAGGCCACGACGATTACACTATATTTTGTTAGTCATCGTTAACGTCTGTATGTTCGCCCCGGTAATGTCAAAGTGATAACTCGATGAAGCTGTGGTGAGTTATTGCGCATTCGGTTCCGAGAATCTCAACAACTAATAAGTGGCGGTTAAGGTAAATCGTATTTTTAAAATATGAATATTGAATAACAAGTTTTTGTCACTATGAAGAGCCTATAGCCAAACTAAAGGTTACGTAAGAGCTATAATTATAATTATATTAATACTAGCTTTTGCCCGCGACTTTGTTCGCGTGATATAGTTACATCCTGCAGATTTTTGGTTTAAAAACTATCCTATGTTCTTTCTCGAGTTCCAAACTATGTCTGTACCAAATTTCACACAAATAGGTTCAGTACAGAGTTACTTTCGCATTTATAATATTAGTTTGAATTAATATTGGTAACGACCCGACGACCAGACGACCCTTTGTTTTTTAAAGTGCCCCTTACTTATAACAGTTTTAATCATTGACTTCGTACATAATGTACATATACGTTGCGTATTTTTTTTTTTGAAATAACGAAATCATGCAGTAACTTTTCCCGCTCTGAGAGGGAATGTCAGACTAGGCTAGCTTAGCTTATGCCCGAAACTCCGGTTTGAAATCTGCTCTGATGAAGCCCATCTTTTTTTTTGAAACATGCATATCACACCCAGACCCGGAACAACAATCTGTTTTCATTATCATAACAATCAATTTGAATCAAACCCGCGTCACGTTGCACGGCAGCCAATCAAATCTGTGGTAGCCTAATCACCTATCTGGTGAGAATTTGACGCGTGTAGCACCTATGTACTTCTTTTTCACTTTGTACATGTGAGTACCCTGTAACCTATTATAATTGGTTAGACTAGCAGAATGTCGGTCATGCTCACTGAGGGGTCACACTGGCGGTGGCATGGGCGCTGGATCGTTTAATTCCCTATAATATGGTTGAGTTTGGCGATGCTGGTGTACGTGTCATGTTCGTGAACGGGCGCCGTCAGTTGGGACTGGTCAGCTCCAGACTGTCTATTGTCCTTAAGGTTACTTTTTTATATTTGAATAAATATTAGTATTACACTGTTCTTACATAATTGAACCAACGGTTTGTAAAAGGAATCTGTATGTGAAACTGATTTAAAAAGAGTTCTTGCTCGTTCTTCCCTATCGGAATCTACACTTGTGAACGAGCAAATAGCTTCACTAAGAGGATTGACCGACAGACTGACACTATATCTTTAAAGTTTTGTTTGACGTTCAAGTGCCTGTGCCTTTGACTTAAAAAATATTTTGTCCTATTTACATATTTCAGTAAATACAAAATGTGAAAAATATCATCACCCCGTTTGAGGAAGTATCTTAATGATGTTTTCTTCTTTTACCGTATGCGGCAAAAATTAAGATGATAAGATAACCTGTAACAACTATGATACATTATATACATTTTTTGGGATTTGGATGCCAGATATTCAGGGATTGAGAGAGGTGAGGCAAAACACGACGCTGTGGTTGTTTCACGCCATCTTTTCTGTGAGGCCGTCGTATCATTCCGGCCGAGCCGACCCATTCGTGCCGATATTTGGTTCTCCCCCGCTTTTTATCTTCTACATCGGCTTCATTTATTGTAATAAGGGTAAATTAAAAATATATCTTTACTAATATTATAAAGAGGTAAGTAAGTTTGTAAGTTTTTATGTAGGGGTAATCTTTGGAACCGCTGGTCGGATTGCCAAAACTCTCTTCACTGATAGATAGCTACAATGTTCCTGAGTGCTATAGGCTATAAAACATCACGCTACGATTAAATGGAGCCGAGCAGCGGGTGAAAACGCGCGAGAGTAGCTAGTAGTAAGTAATATGCATATTAGTTGCAAAAACAGTACCATGTTTGTATGCAGCCGACCCCACTTCGCCAGACATGCACGACTTGGCTCAATGAGTATCCAAACTTTAATAACTTTATGCCTAAATTCATCCCGACATACCCTTGAGGAAAACCACTCCAAATGAATCCCTACCTTGTATTCGTTAGATAAGGATTAAAATTGAACGGTGGGCTTCCCACTGATTAAACTTAAGACTAGTGCACATGAACATACTTATACGAGTATGTATCTTGTATTTTAGTTGCGGCTGCTTCAAATATTAGTTTTATATAAAGTGGTCGAAATGTTACTGCCTCTGGTCCATTTGAGAAGCAGTCACATGGTTCAAAAAGATTATATATATGTACATATGTACATCTGAAGGGGAATGTCATGAAATATTGCTTAGGTAATGACTAAACAAGCCTGCTTTTCCTTTGCCTGGCGTCGAAGAAGGCTATTCTTTCTTGTACTCCAGGCCTAAGCCATGGCACAAGATTACGCTTGCCTCGCAACCCTAGTACATCAGCCCTATTAGACCCCACCTGTAGTGGTCTATTGCTTTATTGCGCGGAAGGCGACGCGCCGTCGTACGCGCGTGCCTATAGTGATCTGAGATCGACACGCGATCCCCAACGCAAGTAGTGTCTCCAGTGATGATAGTTCTGTCACTCGCTCCTCCACTTTCTTTAGTGGCGACTTCCCAGTTCCCCTCGCTCCGTACCATGGCCGTGCAATTAATTAATATAACCATTAAATGAATCTTATAGAACTTCATCAGCATATCCACTATTGGTAATTGTGTTGAAAAAAAACGCTACAATATCTAGAATCCATTATTCAAATCAACTTTAAGACGACTAACGAAGACAATAATAAACTAACATAACATAACTAATCCGTCTCAATACATGTCGGATCTCGCTACAAGAATTATTCCGCACAAACTTCACGCTATCCAGTCTTCAAAAACAGTTATATACTCTTACAATGTCCTGACCTCACCTAAAACCAGTCACACTCGAGCGTGGATTACAAGATGTTACGGACATTAGGCGCTGTTCACACTGCGATCTAAGAACGAGAGATTACGCAATTTTAGTATCAAGTCTTTGCTATAGCGATATAACAGAAACATTACAGTTGCCTTTACTAGATTAAACTGATAATGTAAATTAATAAATAAATCGCAAAAGAGGAAGATTCAGTTAAACCTGAAAAAAGAGTTTTATTGTCTAGGATAATAAATCCGGAACTTATTGAGCAGTCGCAAAAAATTTGATCTTGCAAGTCGACTAAATACTACACAGAATTTTTCCGAAATACAACCGACGAATCATCTTTTGAAGTTAAAGTCAAATAGAACACTATAGGCACTTTTGAATGTTAAACAAAAAATAAATATAAAAAATGTGTGCCAGTATTTTGGCCTGCCTTCTAGTGAAGCTACTTACTTGCTCGTTCCAAGGAGAACAACGAACAAGAAACTCCATGGTTACTCTTTCTCAATCAATTTCACAATTCAAATTTAAAATATATCTATCATTCCTTATTCGACATTCAAACCAATATGAGCAACGCTTGAGAGCCATAAAGGTTATCACTAACGCCGTTTAAATTCAAATAGCAGGAATCAGTTCTCAGAACGTTTGGAGCCAATGAAAATATTATCAGTAAGGTCGCTGGCTTAAAGTTCGATGATTTGCGTAATAAACTCATAAGAATAAGTGGATTAATCATATTTTTGTTACTTTATGTGATTCTTTACTGGATAATACAAATATTACACAGGTTATTAAGAAAAAACTTAATAACATTTAGTATTTTTCATATAGATTCGGTGATATTCGAAACTCACTTCATAAGTTACAAATCTAAAAACTAGATGGCGTTAGTTGTACTGTTTTTTAGCGATTATCATTGTTGTAGTTTTTTTACACTCTACTTATTAAGACTTAATTAAGTGTGTGCTATATCGGACTATTTTATTTACTTTCATCACATCTCTTACAACATGTTATTATTCGTATTCAATCAACTAAAGTTAATTATAGTTGCTGTTTCTCTAAGAACAATGTTCTTCGTTGTATTATCAGCCATAACCTTAATGTTCTCAGTATATTTTTTTATTTTTACATTTACATTTACATTATAGTTCATTATAGCGGAAACAATTTGATTTGTACTGCTCTTGTAGGTACTAGCAACTAGAAATATTAAAAACAGAAGATGAATTCTTGGAAACTTGAGTCAAGGCTTCTAGAAATTACTATTTTATTCATAGAACGTCGACATTTTTTATCGCGTATAAATTTGAGGATTTATTCTTAGGATCTACTCTATACTAGTAGAATGGGAAAATGTTTTGGCACGAATAGGTCGACTCGACCGGAATGCTACCACGACTACTACTACACATTGTCTTCAACAAACTATTGGTAAAATTATTGGTCATTTTTAAAGATTCAAATTATTCAGAACTTCTTGAAATACTCTGTTAAAGGTAATGGTACTTATAGGAAGGTATCACAAATAAAACACCCTATTAAACCTATAAAATAAAATAATATATTAAATAAATTATACAATACAAAAATCACTTGTGGATGAACTTGTCATCCTTGACGCCACTACTGGCGAGGTACTTGTCAAGCCACGCTTCAATGACTGGCAAGTTTTCTGCCGACCACTTGGCTTCCTCTCTGATGTTTCTCATTGATTTCTCGATGATATGCTCCGCGGATGCGAACTGGCCTTGATGGGTCACGTAGAGCTGGGAGACCAGTTCCAAACCTTCTTCTGTTGTGAATTGTGAAGTTGCTGAAGTGATCAAGTTGTCCCAGAGGTTGGTTCTTGTTGAGTACCTGTCGGTTTGAGTGTTATAAATATATTATGTAAAACAATCTGTGATCTTGAAATTTAACTTTATTACATAGCAATTTAGACTTTACAATTGGAACACGAACTAGCTGACTTTTGCACCGTTATGTCATGGGACGATTCGATTCGCACATGAAACAACTCTTTAAACTATCCATTTGTTTTTTTCTGGTGTTGTTAATATTACTTTGACATAAAGCCAGCTGTAATATTAGTCGACTTAGAGTAATGCAGTTCTAAGCCTTCAGGTATATTTTTATCTCACCTACGTCGCAAACCAATTTTTAACTAAAACTAGTAAAAAGCAATCCGAAAAAAATGTTTTCTGAATAGTGTACCGATCTAAAGCAAATGCCCATTTGGGATATGAATTGAATTGCACGATAATAATTTTGATATATTAAAATAAAAGATACACTCTTCTTGGCATTTACCCATTCCAAATTCACTGTCCAAGCTCTCAAAAGTTTAGTCGAAGTTGCTCTTTGTTTTGGCTCGCTACATTTGAGCGTCGAGCGGTAACTAGCTAGCAGTCGAGGTAGACGCAAATGAGGGAAATTGGCGACTGTGGTGCATAGCCATTAAGTCAGCCCCTACCTGAGCACTCTAAGCTTAAACCCTTTGAGTGATGCAAATGCCATTATTGTAAGGCTACGACCACACTGTTAGATCAAAAATGCTTTTTTGCCTGCAAAAATTATCCTTCAGTCCTTTCTATATCAGAATACTAGCTACTCTTGCGCGGTTTCACACGCTGCTCTGCTCTTACATATTGTTTATTGTAGGGCGATGTATATATATACAAGAATGGGTGATGCCTTCGCCTATAGCTATAGCCGTCCTCTATAAATGGACTAACAGACAAAAAAGAATTGATCAATTTAAACCAGTAGTTCCGGAGATAAGTGCGTTCAAACAAAGAAACTCTTCAGCTTTATAATATTATTAGTATAGATTTTGGTATGAGATTATTTTCATATTGGTATTTATTTTCACTAAAGTTTAAACTTTAATTATTTGTGACGTGTATACCTTTCTTTCAAAAGATCCCAATTGTTGCTAAGGAAGTGGAATAAAGTAGTATAACCAGTCGCCGATCCAGTCAACATGCTAAATATTAAGAAAGCGTCCGTCTCCGTGAAGTTGGCATGACCTTCAAGCAGTGTTATGTTCAAGAGCCTGTTGATCTTCTCTTCGGATTCAGGACATCCAGCCAAGGTCTTCAGAAGGTAGGTCCTCTCACTCTGCTTCCTCGATGGAGGGAAGTTTATGACTCTTTGCAGACCAAACTCCCATTCCTTCATGGTGCCCCATTTGAAGACTGGACAGATGTACTGATTGGCGAGGCTGCGGAGAACAAATAAGAGTTTATTTCATAATAGCTTATGTAGATACATACATAAACTAAGTTTATTGAAGGCATGTAAGATCTTCAGCTATATTTATTTCTTAAAAAAGTTGACCTACTCTATAAATCAAACTGATATTTTTGAGTTTCTAACCAAGAAAGGGGCTCTACTTTTTCAATTCACAATTAAATTACTAATTACTCTAAGTCTTACCACTCTTATACTCTTCCATAATGAGATCGACGAAACTATCATCCTCACACAAAACAGTCAACAAACAAACAGACAATACAACGAAGATGTCATTATGTGCTTCACTGAATACACACAGACACACATGTGACAATGTTCATTTGTTTTGCAAAGTCTACGGTTCAATGTACCTATCATAGTAAGTTCGTAACAATACAGGGTGTAACAGTCTTGGTGGCTTAGCAGCACTGCCTATAACCATATTTACTACAGTACCATCAGTTGCAGAAAAAGAATCAGATAGTTCTTACAGAGTATTTTAAGCGTTTGTAGTCTAAAGGATAAGTCCAAGGTTTTGTAAGCCAAGGTCATCACTTTGCATTCCTGTTTCACTTCAAAGGTCGATAGGTGAGCTTTGCCCGAGAGGGGGACAGTAACTGGTTGATTTGTCCATACTTTAGGATTGTAATTGTAATTTTAGGAGTTGGAGTTTAAAGTTGTAACTGATAACTAACACACCATATATCCAAAACTAGTAGCCAAAATGATAGGCCACCAGTAGTTTCTTCTACTATTTAAATATATAATATGTCCTGTCTATCCACTCTCGTAGAGAGTTTATACATCATCCCATACAATCAGGTCAATGAACTCAAATGTGAGTAATTCGTCAAAAGGATTAAAAAGATAACAGACAAAATTTCACACGTCACTGATATCAAAAAGATATGTTCACATTTTGAGGGTTTTATCCCCATTCGAGGGATGGAAATGTCCCTCTTGAAATACTTTGTAGGTCACTTGCCTCGTATTAATTATGAAACGATTGAAACAGTCGGACACTTAATTAATTATGTCCCTGGCTTTAGATAATAACAGAACGATAATTAATAACGGTAATGATGACCTCTTGCGTATATAGATCCAATACTATTGAAGAAATCAACCCAATAACTAAATATAATCCTTCCCCTTAACTAATCACTCTCCGATCACTAAGTCTCCCAGTTCCTAATCCCCAAAAGGTCGATAACGCACATGTAACTCCTCCATCGTTCGACAGCGCTGATTGCATACCATTAGGTAATCCGTATGATCTTTTCGGTCCTATTACAAAATAAAAAGAATTGAGTCCAAAATCTTTCATTTTTTCTTCCCTTCATTTACCACGGTTAAGAAATATACACCACAGATTTATTGTTAAAATAATTTTGTACGTACAATTTTTAAGTGAGTCAATTATACGCCGGAGCTTCAAGAAGAACAAATTTTAACGCGGTCCTCGAACAAACTTTGCCAATTTATTATTTTTCTAACTTCTTCCATACTTATTTTTAGAATAATAATTATCACAACTTTTCATTGTAATTTTTTCACTTTTTTTAAATGGAAATTTTTGTGATATAAATGCTAGTCGCTTCGTGTGGTTTCACTCGCTTGCCCTGAGGACTCGTTATATCCGCAACTAAGAAACCAGACTAGCGGCACTGAAATAAAATGTTTCGTTCCGTGGTTTAAAACTTTTACTACGACAGTCTTTATCAATTTAAGTTTGTATAACAGTCATAATAAATACTTAAATTTTAACCTACAATTTTTCCTCAATTCACTCTCTTTTGTGAAGGGAAAATCATCCTATGACTGTTCCTAACCTGGGCCGTTAGATTCGGGAGCGCCAGACTCTTACTGACTAAACCCCTCCCACCCTTCTCCGTCCTTTTTCCTGCTTTGGGCCGAGACTGCGGTGCCTCGTTGCGGCTGCCACGCAACCCCAGGGCCCAATGCACATAATTATGTCACAACATTTAATACTTACGGATTTCCTTCATCAGGGTTTTTAGCCTGCATCCACTTGCTATACTGTTCCTGTGCGTCCCTGATGCAGGGTTTGTACCCAGCCTGGCAGAGGAAGGTCTTCGTCAAGGACCTGAGGTGCTTGCGCCAAGGTTCCTCATCCTCCTTCTCATCTTTAGCCAGTTCTTCATATAGAGGACTGAGGAGTACGCGAACGTACGCCTGATAACAATTTTAAGTTGTAAAATTAAGTCTTTCATAGTATGCTACTAACTAACATTTCTGGATATTATAATAAACTCCATTAAAAAGTTTAACTATAAATCGCTGAAGTAACTACGTAATGAAATTCTACATTATATATATAGTTAGCCAAGCGTTGGTATGAAAATGTCACAAGTATTTTAATGACGTTTTCATAGAAATAAAAATGTGACAAAATTGCTTAAGTATCCCAAATTGAATTGGACATAATAATGCTGTGTATGAGTGCTGCTATGGATGCTTTAAAATGTCTGCTATGTTTTCAAATGCTAATGATATATTTACCTGGAACTTTCCATGTAGGCATTGACAAATATGTCTTCCGAGATGATCAATCATGGTGAACACAGGATCCCACACAAGGTGGTGTCTCTCATTCTTCAAGAACAGGGTCATGTTGAAAGCAGTCACAAAGGACAGCTCCCCAGCATACGCCAGATTCCATGCATCATGAAGGAGCTTGGCTCTCGTCAGCTCGGGGATCATATTCCTCTTGTCGCTTTGCAAGAAGTTCGATAGCAAGTTCCAGTTGTCTTGGTCATAATTAACTGGGTATGGAGCTGAAAAAACATATAATCTTAGAAACGGTAAGAGGTTCTAAAAATGAAATTGACGAAAAAATTTGATACAATTGATATACAAATAATCTGAAAAAGTTCTGTTTAGTTTTTAAAATGCAAAAATCTTATTATTAACTACCTATACATATAAAGCAGCGTAACCAGACGCTGAGAATTGCGGGCGAATGAAGAAGAATGTGGTGACGCAAATATAAGATGGACGATAAAGGTCAACCGATGACGAAAAATAAAAGTCCCGTTATGACTTGAAACTAGTAGAGCTTCTCAGTCGTCGTCATTTTCAATAAACTATTCTAAAATATCAATAAGCAATAGAGCTTCTTATGTTTATGTATAGACATGCTTTAATTTAAAGGAATACATTAAAATCAAGTTCCAATTCAAAATACATTAAAATTCTCAAAGGTTAACATTACAACAGACCCGTCAACCTAAAACACAACAGCACAGAGCGTCTCCGTAACTTTACTCATTCAGAGCGCATTGGACCATCTTTATTGGAGTCAAAGGTGCAATTAGCTCTGGCTCCTGCGAAGATAATACAAAGACATGTTAATAATAAACCCGGCCATTTCTATTCCTTTTAAGACAAAGAAACTCTGAAACATATTCAAGTGAGTTTTAATAGCGAAGTTTCTGCTTCGCTCTACAATTCTGTTTCAAAATTAAATGGCGGACACTCGGTTTTATATTACGGTGATGGTTTTATATTTTGTCCTATTTCTGTGAATATTTTATCAGGATTGGAGATTAAAGTTTATGTTTGGAAATATGAATTATTTTTTTGTTAACGTTGCCCGACTCTAGAACTTTCTGCTGTGTTGCGGGTGCGATTACCAACATACGCATGACACCCAAATTAGAGACAACAATTTGTGGTTCACAAAAAGGGGTATTCAGTGCGGAAAACTAACCCGTGACACGTTGCACGCCAGCCAATTGCCCAGTCACCGCACCAACCGTGCAGTCTGTCTTTTTCTACGAATATTGTTAACGCGAAACTTTGTAAATATAGATTGATGGATGTTAGTTACTCTTTCTCGTAAAATATGATTAGCCACCACTGGCATACGGTAAAGGAAAACATCGTGGGGAAACCTAGACTTATAATTTCTAATCAGAAGTTTGAAATTGCCACCAACTCGCTTTAAGCATGTGTGGTGATTAATGCTCAAACCTTCTCTGTCTTAGAAGCGGCTTTTGCTCAGCAGTGGTCACATCTTATAGGCTAATGATGATGATGATGATGATGATGATAAGTTCACGCAACAAACGAACTTACCAATTTCCTCAGGGTTGACAATGATGAACTTATCTTTATCAGGTATGTTGGGAATGGTGAGCGGTGACCGGTCCTTCATCCAGGCTGCTGGAGTGGTGTCCTTCAGGTCAAGGGTGCTCTCCTCAGCAATCACCACTGGTAACCACCACGACATCTTCGCAGCTTCGGGAACGTCATGAGGTCTTTCACGAAGATATACTTTCTGTAGAACATTTTACATTTAAAACGAGTATTTGGAATCTCTTGTTCATTATTGAAAAGTTAGTCACTATAAAAAAAGATTTCTATAAATAGGGGGGAAGAAACACATATCTAGGGGGAATAAAACAAAAAAAAAACAAAAACATGAAACTACTATATATATTAAATAGGTTTCAGTGTGTATTCAAATAATAATATTGAAAATGGTACCAGTAACGCCATCTATGATTTAAGCGTGGAACTATGGAAGCACGTAACTAACAAGAAGTTGTTTAAGATTGGAACGTGTTCTGTACAAATTGATATGAAATATTATCTTACTTAATGAAAATTCTCATAAAATCTAATAAAGCTTAAAGTATGTTCAAATAAAGGTCAAGTTTTATTTCCAAATGTTATTTATATGGCAAAAGTAGGAACTGACCTGAGTCACAACAGCTGTATTATTGTTATAATGTCTCTGCACATTCAAGAGAGGCAGTCTGTCCTTTTCGATCCAGCTCCTAGTCATCGTCTTGATGTCCACACCCTGAGGAATCTTGGACGCTTCCCTTGCAGCCGCATTCAGAGCATTCCAGATATCATCGCCGGAGAAGGTTTTGAATTTACTGTTTGGGAATAAAAAACATAATATATAAAGAGATTGAAATTACTGTGTATAGCCTCTCTTCGAAATAAATGTCTAAAAATATGACACATGAAAAGAAATTTCTTTGACATTCATTTTGTGGTTAATTTTCATTTAAAAGCTGGGGTTCAAAATAAATAATCTTTGATTTCGATAAAATTATTTAACTATCGAGATTTAAAGGACAAACAAATAAATTTATATTTAAACGTAATGTAACAAAGAATTTGAAATTGGTGGCATGAAATAAGAATTTCCAGTGATATCCCTTTTTTGTAAAGTATTTTGAAGAATTAGGTACGTAGGTCAAATAAAATAATTTGACTATTCAACAAATAAAATATTAAAATACTTTTATAATTCATCAATCTGTCGACACACAACATTTTCGATAGTTTTGAGATAATTTTTAAGAAATAAGTAAGCTATTTGATGCGAAAATACGTCATAATTTGGAGTTTCATACAAATTTCATAGAAAAGTATCGTTTATGTATTTGAATAAAACTCTTGAATTTGACTAGTTGGAAACAACCGCATTAAAACACAGACAAAAAAATCATTGACAAACATACCGAGACTCCAAGAACCTCCAAATTCCATTCTTGAAAGTATCTTCTCCGAGGGTGTAGTTGAACATACGGAAGAGCAGCTCAATCTTGGTGCAAGCCGTCTCTTGCTTCATACCAGTGATGCGAGAGTGGGGGTAGCGTTTGCTGAACTCGTAGTATAGGGAGTATAGGACCGTGAGAGGCCACTTGCCTTCCATTTCTGAGCCATTGTTGATCTGCCCACAAAAATATGTAAGATGAGAACTATAGCTTAGGAAGATATACTCGTATGAGCGAGTTAGTGCATCTTAGAAATAATATAAATGCGAAAGTTACGATGTTTGGATGTTTGTTACTCAATAACGCCAAAACGGTTGGACGGATCTGGATGAAATTTGGCACAGGCATTAGATACACTCCGGAATAGGACATAGGCTATTTTTTATGAACATACCACGCGCGTGAAGCCGCGGGCGAAAGCTAGTAATATATAAATCAGAACAGTAAGGCCTTCCGCTGATTGTGGCTTTTGTCACCGCAACTTTTTGACTCTTAATTGAGTGTTATGAAGATTTGCATTAGAGCGTATTGAGTGCGCTCACAGCGATGACGTGAAAATACAATAAAATTTTAGTATTATTACTTTACTCTATACTATATACATATATACAATACGGTGACAAATATTTGCAGCCGACCTGTACATTACTATGGTAAGTAGTCTACTCACTGGTATCCTTTTTTTGTTTGTTTTATCAGCTTTCTTTATTTCGAAATCCATTACACAAATTCGTGCGATTTGTCATTCACGAACTATTTCAGTGAACGCATTGTGAGAGACAGTCAGTCCCAAAAGTCACAGTCACAAACACTCACAATCAGTGGCGGTCCAGCGGTGGCATTAAATCATTTAAAAGTTAAAAGTTCTAAATCATTTAATTAACTTATAACAATATGTTTGGTAACCTATGTAAAATATCTATACTAATATTATAAATCTTTAGCCTCTGTTTGTTTAAACGCGCTCATCTCCGGAACTACTGGTTCGAATTGAACAATTATTATTGTGTTTGTTAGTCCATTAATCAAGGAACGCTATAGGCTAAAACTTCACGCTTCGCAATTTGTAGGAACCGAGCAGAAGATGAACTGCGCTAGTAGAGCTAATTATTATAAGAAATGGATTTAAGGTGTTAATTTTGAAGTGTACGTTGTAAGAAATAGTTTGTTCATTCTGAGGTTGATAATAAAAAAAATCTACCTTAAAAGCAGTAGCAGCGGCAACGTAACCAACAAGGGCCTTGTTCAGGTGAGCATCAGTCCACCAAGCTGGCGTAGTCAGAGCTCCCAGCCACTGGTAGGACAACTCCTGGGCAAGTTGAATGTAGCCACGACTACTTAAGTCACTCTCCCTGGAAAAGAGTAATATAGAAACAACTTTTCTCCTTTAATTAAGAATAAATTTACTCCAATTACTGTCTGTATGTAGCTGAAAAGTTATATAGATGACTTACTAATGGCCAAGAGAAAGAGATAAATATCAGCTGATAACGTATAAAGAAATTTAAAGAAAAGCAATCGGCATTTGAAGAACAGTCTGTCGCAACTTAAAACTAAGGTTCAGAATGTAGAATACACAATCCTTCGATTCCTTACAAATCCCGGAAGATCCGTAAAACACATTTGAACACCTTTTGTATTATGAGTCTCCATTGGCGACGCCGCTGGCTACTCACCTTCAGATGATCCCTATCCTGCTTTATCACCCTACTCCATAAAAAGGATTGTAAATCAGCACTTACCTGAACACAATAAGACCCCAGTTATCAGCAGGCTTCACTCCTTGGTAGTTCGGCAGAGCGACGATATCCAACCTCTTCAGTGGTAAAGGCACTCGCCAGAACGCAGCCAACTCTTTGAAGACTCTCACTACCTTTTCATTGATACCTTCTAAAGCTTCCAAGTATTCTGGACGACCCCAAACACGAATTTCTAGAAGAATATGTATTACTTAACAATCTGGTTTTTCACAATTTTATTGAGAATGAAAAGGCTTTAACAACATTGCTCCTTTTGCGGAATGACTTGTCCAAATTCCGAGCATGAAGATATGAGTTCAGTTTTGGGTAGACCGTGGCTTTTCTTCGTTGAAATACATACTTAAAATGGGACTTGTATCATTTGTCATCATTTGCTAAAACACTATTGTCTAATTCGTCTCATTGTACTTTATTTATCTACTCCTTAAAGACTGCATAAAATTCCTCACCAATATCATTTCCACTATTATCCTTAAGCTGCGTAGAATTTCCCAGCTGCTTCAAGTTGGCAATGACCAAGCCGAGTGTGAAGGTGGACATTGGAGGTGTCTTCTCAAAGTGGTCGCATACTGCGTCTGGTTCATCAGGTCTGTTGAGAACATTTTATATCAAATCCTTCACTTTATCGTCTTATCACACTACTAAAAATTCAAAATATAAGAACAATTTTTTTTCACAAGTAAAAAGATCTTACGTTTGCTCGAAATTATGTCATAATCCAACTCTAGGTGAACTAAATCTGTTTAACGGAAGACTGCCTTAAAGAAATTCTTTATTGAATAAAATTTTACGGGACAGTTAACGCAGGTTTCCATCTGAGAATCTCCTTAGTACTCAATAGAATATATCTGTATTTTGTGACCAGTCTAGTGAATTTTGCACATAATCTTAAAGTTTTAAGTTATAGATTTTCTTAAATACAGTACTTACATGTTCTCAGTTCTGGCCACAGGCACATTGCTGAGCGCGATCATATCCCTGGGCCTTACAACGCTGAGCTCGAATGGTGTCTTGTACCCAGGCTCATCAAAGCAGGGGAACATACGACGCGCGTTGTTTGGACGCAGTTGAGTAGCTGCTACAATCCTAAACAGGAAATATATTAATACAGTATCTGTTTAGATGAAGGTTTCGCACAAAAATGTCGTCATTTTTTTCATGGTGTTAGTGTAATACTATTATTTGTCAGACAAATTTTATGAATACAGTCGATTTCCCTATTTTATTACTACAAGTTTGGCTTAGTAATAAATTCTATTCTGTTTTTTTTACAAAGTTTATCCTTAATTTACCTTTCTACTTCCTGCTCAGTCACGTAAGTTGTTTTGAAAAACGCTTCAGTTGATGAAGTCTCCAGATTACCCTTGAAGCTGAACTTTAGCACTCCTGTAGATCCTTTTGTTACTGTTCTCTCAAGAGATAGGGTAACGATAGGTTTCTTTGGGTCTAGTGACAATTTATTTATGGTGACCCGTTTTGATTCCTTACTAAAATCAAATTTATTTAAATTAGGCACTTATCTTTTAAACTACTCATAAAAATTATACCTGTCGCTTATTTTGGAATAACAATACAACTCATTCATAGTTGGTACAAAAATGTTTTTCAACTTTATTAACATATGCTCAATCACTCACGTGTCTCCAGAAAAATGAGCTCTGACTTCAGACTCCAAAATCTCAATTTCGTGTGCACAATGCACATTGATCTCATTACCATCCATCAACCAGGTCACGTTAATGGCTACATGACCTTTGAAGAGACCGTCTTCTAGGTAAGGTTCTAGATCCAGTTTGTAGCCCGTGGGTTCCACCACCTTATCCAGGCGTGTCTCCATTGATAAGCCATGAGCATTATTCAGGTCTATGCTGCGGGTTTTGATTATGTGGATGGGTACCTGAACATATGAAGGTAGTTTTAAAATGGTATCAAGGAAAAAATACACATCCAAATCATACTGACTGATTCCATTATAAGATGGTTTTCGTAGCCGTGTGATCATACAACCAAATAGATTCCTTATACCTTCCAAACAGAGATGAATATGGCCACACCATATCACCTAAAACGGTGCGTTATATATCAGCGGACAATAACGCGGGTAATGCAAATACCTGTTATGTCGAAACCTAACCACAAACATATACAAATAAATCTGACTTTCCCTAACTTTTAATCCTGGATGATTCAAAATATTTCAGTGAAACTTCATTCAAGTAATTAGTTAATGAGGTAAAACGCATTTATTTATTCTTACTTCTCTGTGAATTATTTATTATTTACCTAATTTTGATTTTTACAGTTGGGTCGCGGCGACGACGTGCATGCTGCTTATGAGTCCTATTGTGACTTAAATCTACTAGAGTTTTTCCCGGTTTATGATGGTCACGTGAATCACGTTTATTTTCAAAAGTTAGGTACCTATGTTGCCCGATAGTTACTATTTATATTAAATGTATGTGTTTTTTTTTATATTTTATATAATTAAATAATTAAGCCGCTGGATGCAGGTCGCTTCCAACCGGCCTTTCTGGAAGTCAATGGGGGAGGCCTATGTTCAGCAGAGGACGTCCTGTGGCTGATATGATGTCTATTTATATTATAGGTTTACAGGCGCCTAATCATTGAGTCCTTGTAATACTGAAGTTTAGTTAAAGTACTATTGCTATTTTACGTTTATTAAGTCCAAATACGCCAAGACCTTTACTACAATTCTGGTGTGTCAAAGTGGTTCTTTTGCAGTACACTTTCCTTTTCTTTTCTAGTAACGATTTCAATTATTATTACTATTCTCTTAATATCATCCCAAGTTAATTGTAGTTAGAACTAAATGGGGGAGAGCCATGCTTCGGCACTAATGGGTCGGCTCGACCGGAGTGATACCACGGCCTCACAGAAAACCGGCGTGAAATAACCAAAGTTGTGTTTTGCCGTGTGAGTGAGGTTACCGGAGGCCCAATCCTTCCCCTACCCCAATCCGTTCCCTTTCCCAAAATCTCCAAATCTCTTATCTCCAAAAGGTCGACAAAGCAGTCGTAATTCCTCCGTCGTTGCGGGTGTCCATGGGTGACACTGATTGCTTACCATCAGGTAATCCGTTTGCTCGTTTGCTGACCACGTAAACACACTTTACACAAAAAAGTAATGCTATAAAAATTGTCCTCAAAACCGAACCATGAAAATTTTTCGCTAACTTGTCTGTTAAGTATTTGACTTCAATCTCGTCCATAAGATACCAAAACGAGCGAGTATTGCTGACTCATTGAGCCATATTTAGAGGTTTGTTATGCACATATTTGGTGCACCACTAACTGCTGCTAATCGCACTTAATTAATGACCGATGGCCAATGTTTACTCTCGCTCCGCTATGACGTCATTCCCCGGTAACTTCACTTTAATTCGTCGATCTAGCAGATTTATCGAGCTGAGTTTTTTTAGCTAGGTTGTATTAGGATAAATATTTAAACTTGATTTTTTTGTGATAGGATGGTAAACGAGCTGACGGATTACCTGATGGCAAGCAATCGGCGCCACCCATGGACACCCACAGCACTAAAGGAGTTACGAATCGCTCTGATTTCTACTTTCAACCGAACTGAATCGCTTGAATCCAAATAACTCATATGCAATAATGGAACCCTTTTTTGATATGTAAATACGGTCAAATGATTTCTCGCGCCCTTGGTGGGGCGAGAAGGAGTCTCAGACTTTTACTGTCTCCTTCTTCTCCTGGTCCACACCGGGGCCGCAGTTCATTATAGGACACTATCTGTGGTGGTCTACTGGGGCTTTGGAGCGCACGGAACGCAACGCGCTTTACGCTCTAAGCCTTGTAGGTTACTGGTAAATGATAAATGATGAAATACATATCTAATCAAATTTAGAATTACAATCATCAAAATCCAAATCTTTGCCTTTACAAAATTTTAGGTTAACTCACGAAAGTAATATAACTTTAAAATAAATCAAACAGAAGGACATTTTTATGACACCACTCTGATCCCTACAATGTCACACCTAATAAATTTACTACAGCTAATCTGGTTCTTGGAAAAATTTCGATGGACATACAATAGATGTAGTCACAATTTACTCAAGTCGGTAATCTCGATCAATATTTGCTCTGACTTTGACCAGTGGCACAACACGCGAAATACCATAGTAGTGACGGAGTACGTCTTTGATGTTTTGTCACATTTTCAACGAAAATATTTAATCGAGGGCTGCCTTGCGGTAGACTATATTTAATGTTACTGGTCCCAGTGTTCCCGTGGTAGATTTTCGGATCCGACTTAAATATTCAAACGCCTTTGACAGAAACCAGAAAACAACCATCTATCACACGCCAGCCAAGAGTCTGAAGCAGGAGAACGGAACGGGTCAGTTTTTAGTCAGTAAGTCTGACATTCCATCTCACCTTGCCCAGTCCCAGAAAAGTTTTTTGATGATTTTCCCCGCAGAAATAACCAGCCATGAATAACACTGCAAAACTCTCTTTTATAGACAAGGCCGACATTTCAAGTATAAACCGATCTGTAGACTGATTGAATTGAAGCACATCTGGATGTAATAATAATTATTGTAAGTCAACTGTTTCAATAGAAAACTAACTATGTATGAAATGTTAATAAATGGTATGTTAATAATGGCCCAGGATTTACAGAAGTTTATGGCAGAAATTGCTATTGTAATAATTTACACTTTAATCAAAGTTTTAGGTCCAAATGTGCAAATTCTTGTCAAATAGTTTATCGCAAAAACGAACTAGAAAAAAGTTGTTTTATATTATTATTACGATGATGACACAAATGTCCAAAAAAGATAATTCTTATAGACTTCCACCTAAAGCGGTGGCGTTAATAAGAAACTACTACTATTGTCCGTTATCACTGACTCGTGACAATGATAAAAACAAATATAAAAACTTTGTGCCACTTTTAAAACTCAACTTCGTGCACAAAGCTGTATATTATTATAGTAGTAGCATATTCAGGAATAAATTCTATAGCATCTACATACCAAATATAATAGGAAGGACTATTTTAATGAATAAACTCTCGAAATTGTAGCAACTCTTGTTAACTAATTTATTTTCATTATAAAAAGGTTATAAGAATGCATCGCCTACGAAATAAAACTCCAAATGCTTTGACTGTTTTCTCAGTCGGTGATCGACACATGTCAAGTACGATTACCAAACAAGGCATACAATGCGGATAAATAATTATTGAGATTGAGGTTTTATAATTTCCTGCATAGCGCGGTGCGTATAACTTTTTTAATAACTTGAGGCATTACTAGCGAAGAGTGGATCTTTGTTAAATGCATACGTGTAACCCAGAAAGGGTTCTTCTTCAGGGACTTCTCTGGGCAACAAAAAGGCTCAATCACATTTTACATCACATTCTTGCATCGTATTCTCTTCATTCTCTTCATCATTAGCACACCAATCCAGACTTTCATTATTGCACAACATTTGCTTTCCATATCGACTGTACTAGACGGTCTCACTCCACATACATATGTATATAATAAAATAGCAGGTCTGTCCAGCAACCCATATCAATATCAGCTAACAAAGGCAATCAGGATGTGTCGTCACGAACCTTATCCGGTGGCAGAGACTTCGCGACTCGAAGGCACAGGCACACGAGTAGAAGGATGCGGCTGATCATCGTTGCCTTTACCTCTTTCTATTACTTGTACCTTAAAAAAAAATGTTAGGACTTTATAATTGGGCCCGATGGATGATATTGTAATCAAGACTTTTCTGACTTTTGTATATAAATTGTCCCCAAGAATACTCATATAGTTTCTCATCAAGAAAATGTTTCTTAAAAACAGCCACAATCATCCAAAACTTTAAAGAATATACATCACAGCCATCAATAAATATAAATGAGCACCTTACTGTCCCTGAATTAGCTAGCTAATACAAAATATTGAACGGCATAATGAAGAAAATTTGGACCAAATAAATAATAATGGCAGGATAATACCAAAACAGAGCCTGCTATAGGTATATTTGCTAAAATAAAATTCATTGCAATACCACACTTAGAGTGAGGATCAGATGAATTTATTGTAAAGATCACGTGTCAGCAAACCAAACACTTGAAGGACATAACAATACATATGACTAAAGAGGTTACTGGTCCACAATAGCAACCTCCTAACCCATTACGACATTTAAAATTCGAAAAGGAAAACAACACTTTCTTGTTACAAAATCTTAGAAGGAAGATAAGAATCTTACCAACAAATTTGAATTTGGAAGGGCATGAAAAAAAAATATTATAGAAAAAAATCCAAGGAGGTTTGACTTACGTGTTAGGTTGAACTCGTGCAGATTGCCACTGTAGTGTCCCAACGTCGGTCCCCCTCAATTGTATACAGGATATGCCTCATTTGCACTGACGACTCAACTCTTGTGAACCTCTTACATCTAATATTGCTAATGTTATTTACGCGTCAGATTGTACCGACAATTTGTTTTCAATGCTCCTATCACGCAATATTCGTGAGGATGAGTTATGGAGAATGCGGGAAGGACGTGACATCTCGAGTAGCTAATTTGGGATGTAGTTTAGTTGGACATCGGGCTAAGGATAGGAATAGCGTAATGGATCCCACGTTATGTCAGAGACGTACTCGCTGTAGGGGTATTGATGTATAAGGGTTATAATGAGAAATTACTCATGTTCTCTTGCAAAAAAAAACCTATCTACGACATTTTAGTTTCAAAAGTCTTGAAAGATTAAACTAGAATATGGTATGTTTGGATTTTTATGTGATAGGACGGCAAACGAGCAGATGAATTACTTGATGGAAAGCAATCAGTTTCGCCCATGGCCACCCGCGACAACAAAAGGTTTACGAGTGCGTTGCTGACCTTTTAGGGATTAGGATTTCTAAAATTTTGGAAATGGGGTGGGATTGAGGAAAGAGAGGAATTGGGCCTCCGGTAACCTTACTCACACAGCGAAAAACCACCTGTGGTTGTTCACGTCGGAGTTCCGTGAGGCCGGGGTATCACTCCGGTCGAGGCGGCCCATTCGTGCCGAAGCATGGTTTTTACACATTTCTCTCTAGAAAACGATGCCGCGGCCAATAAACTAGTTTAACGCTCTACTAGTCCGAGGAAGTACTTAAATAGCCCAACATGTTATTTCTATTCACATGAAGCTGTGATGGTAAATAAAGAAGATACTGGAAGTAAAACTACCTGACCTGTCTGCCTAGCCAAGTTCAGTATCGATTTATAGCTATCGGTTTAAAAAACGAAACCAATTTATGTAAATGAATTCGTTGAACACGTGACTTATCGATGGCCTTCGGAAAACTCCATACATTTGTTTTGTTTCTAATGCGATAACGATTATCGATATTGGACTTCGTGTAAAGGGTTGTTCTTAAGCCAGGATCTACAATAAATACAACCATGAAAACGCCGAAACGCTTAAGTCCAGTCTTGGATCCCGCAACGACATAAATGAGAAGATATTATTTGAGAATAAATTAAAAACTTCGGTAAACCAAATGCTGTTCTTACTCCCAAGGTAATTCTACCCTGACAGGAGATGTGATTAAGATTTGCGGGATAACCAAACCTTGGCCTTGAACCCTTTAACCGGTCACCTACGTTTTCAACTTTGTCATAGCTAGTAGACGAAACGGTAAAATTGACTATTAGCATTTATCATTGAAAATTATAGTTTTCAAATATTTTACTAGCAAAAACTACCGCTGCAATAGAACCTCTTAAGATCACCAACTATGCTATCTAGAACAGAATTTTCGTAAATACCCTGTACCGACATAAAACATTGGAAATGTTGTGTGTGGGAGTGGAATGTATTTGAAAGTGCCTATCACAGTCAAACAGCTTCGTTCCAAACGAGTACAATCGACTAAATGTCTGGAGTTGTGGCTGAAACAATAAATATTCTCTGATTTATTTACTTAACCTCACTTTACGGTTTAAAGAAATTATTTGTTTTTGCGTTGCAACATTGGAATTTATTTTTACAATGTGCAAATTGTTACAATAATATGCTAATGCAATATATTCCTTTGAGATTAGATTATAGATGGGTTAGACCACAGTCCATCTTGCAAATGTAATGCATAAATTAATTGCATATTATCTTTTTAATGGATATGAGTGATTTATTCAGGGGTCGATATTCAACCCGGTTGATTTTGTGTTGGCATAATAGCTTCTTAAGGCATGCGAGGAACGTGACGCGCCGTAAGCTACGGTCTTTGCTACAGGACTTAAAAATTTGAAAAAAATAAGCAAAAATAACGTTGTAATATTAGGCCAGGATTTTAAAAAGTCATGTGCTTGTAGTAAACGGTGTTCCGCATATTTAATCGATAGTACATCTGCCATAAGCATGACATATTTAAAGGCACATATCGCCGGCGGAGGTGAATCCGGCGGCATTCCATCCAAAATGTTATCAGTAAAATGTTGCTGAAAATACGTCTGCATTACTCCCACATCATGTGAAATAGAATCTTTGCGTAGCTTAGTAACTGTAGGTACCTAGAAGGATGATTCTTTATTTCCTTACTTCATAATTCAACAAAAGATAATAATGTCATTATTCTCAACCAACATTTAAGAAATTCATTATATATGCAGGAGAAGTCATTTGATGATTTTCACCTCAGAAAAAAAACGGTTATCGGTCCTTCGATATATTTGACCTGCCCACAGACACTTCAGTTTGCTAATCCTTTGGTCTATGTTGGATCACCTGACCTCATCTAAACAGCAACAGACTAACCACATCTAAACAGCTACTAAGAATTCAATTGCTTCAATCATTTGCGTCTTGACAACTGACGTGTTTATTTAAATGACATGACTCCTAGACATACAATTTTGTAATTACACACAATTTCCATCAAGACTAAAACGATTCTTGTATCAGCTTCATAATGCACCTAATTGACAAATATGTATCTTGTGATGATCGTGTTGGTAATGGCGCTAGTATCGTTTTTGGATAGTATACCCCATTAAGTTTTGTAACTTGCTCGAAGTTATGGTAATTTTTAGTAGATTTGGATTAAGATAAGGATCAAAAGTGTAAACACGAATTCTGGGTACATATTTTCACTACAACAAGCTAGAAGCAAGACTGATTGAGATCACTTATTCAAGTGTTGACATTCAATTTTTTTCTTTTATTATCCAAGCAAAATATTTTTTGGTAACCTACATGTTCGATTTAAGTTGTACCTTTCAAAGACAAACACAAAATTAAAGTCTCATCTTTTCCACTTGCTCAAATAAATGTGTAGTCCTACGTAGCGTATATTATACGTACATTGTCATTGAACTTGACTCATACATTAGCAGAGATGTTATTATTACAGTTGCATTTCCCGGTATCTGATGGTCTTTAAATTTAAATATATGCATTCATGAGTGTTATAATTTTCCCTGTAGTTGACTATAAATCACGCGTCTTATTTTGCTGTGCTCTACAGGGTCCATAATTGAATTCACACAAATCGTTACCACCTTTAAATGTACTTATAGAAAAGCAATAAAGATATTGAGTATTGAGTATCTTTGGTGACGTATGTACATATGTATGTGTCCTGTACACAAAATGAATTAAAAATCTCAACTCAAAAAGAATTTAAAGGAAGGTAGTGGAGTGGACCTTGTACTTGATTACCAATGAGATATTCATGTTATGTTACGATATCCAAAACAACATTGAACATATCCAAGACCTTCAAACAATTTTGCACCCTAACTACAGATTATTATTCTATACAAACCTTCTGGGCCTAACCTTTACCTTAAATTTAGTTCTGTGAAACAGTAAAGGTGCTAGTTATTGGTATATTGAACCAGCAAGCAAGATTTAAGTCTTTAATAAATATTAAAGTTGATTGCATTTTTGTTTATGCAAACATCGTTTCATAATCCTCTTCAACGAAGGGCACATTGGCAGTAGCTTCATAAATAAATTTAAATTCATCAGCCTTAAAACCTAGGTCAAAACATAGGAAGGAAATCTGGTGGCTAGAAACCACTTCGTATAAATCGATGCCATTGTTTTGCTACAAGGAGGCGCGTGACATTGGCATTCACCCAAGCGTGGTAAATCACGTGGAGCATTAGGTTGATTAGGCTCTAATGTTGTTTCGAGTACGGATTGAAGCAAAACTGTAAGTAATCGGTTTTCCAGCATGTCTTCTTTATTTATATTATTCGTGTATACAAACCGATAATATTTATAAAATTGTCGTTCATAATGGCAAAGAGGTTTAAGCGCCTGCTAAAACCCAGCACCAATGTGATATTTTTCGACAATGACATGCGATGAAAGAAGAACATGGCGCGAAAAATTACTATCTTGAAATTTCGTAATCAGCTAACAAGCGTGGTAATGCTTTTCCGTGGTAAAAGAGATTTTAGCTGAGCAATGGGAACTTATAGGATGGCTGTCGAAAGTTTACATTTTTTTAAACGTTGTCGCACACTAAGATTTTCTCCTGTGTCGTAGGTGCGTTTACAAACATACAATTTCACTACACATCACACCCAGAACCAATTTGTGCTTGCGCTTGACACATACTTGAGAATATAACTCATGCGGCTTAGCTTGTGTTCTATCCAAGGGCAGACTTGCAATTTTTATCGCATTAAGCGTTAAGTACTGATAAAGTCTGAAATTTCATACTAACGATCATCTTTAAGGCCGAAACTTCCTTCCTTATTGAAGATAAAAATTATGACATGATGTGTTACTTGTAGGTACTTTAACATTGAGACGAATATTGGTGTGCGTAATACAATTTGGATTGGTTACAGTGGTTTACATGCATAAGGATATGCACTTACGGGATTCAAAATAAGAACTTCGTATTTTTAATTTTCTTATTTATTTATTTATTTATTATAAGGTAGGCTCACAGCTTATGTATACAAAGTGGTTTAAAGTATTGGTTATGGGCAGTAGGTCATATACATTAGCCAGTTACGAGCTAAACAACATTTTAAAAATTATGCGTTTACACATACGAAATATATAGAAGTTAAAACTAGGACTAATTAAATTAATATAGGTAGGACAGTATTAACCATAGTAAAGTATTAACTAAATAATATCTATATATATTTTCTTATTTTTATTTAATTCTATTTTTATTATTTGTTTACTGAATTCTGAAATATCTATTCCTTTTTTATCATATAAAATTATGGTTTGTCTCACACTAGAATGTTTTCCTGTGTTTACAAACATACAATTCACATTCAGACCCGGAACAACAATCTGTAGATCACACAAAAAGCCAACCGTGCTGTCAATCCTTTATTTAATCCGCATACAATAAATTAATTATTCGTGAGGCAGAACAAACCATTTTCTTCTTTCAGGTTCTGCCATTTCTAGTTTAATTTCAACGTCACTCCATACCTGAAGTAAAAACAAGCAAATTTCAATTCAATTATAAAACCGCAAAACCTTCAAAAACCTTTCTTAACCCTTTCAGAATAAAGTTAAGATTTCCTTGTTACTATTAACGTTTTCATACATCAGTAATTGTTATTCAACCACATTTTTCATTATCAGTATTTCGTATGATGTTTCATAACAATGTACTCTAGTGAATCGATGATCGGAAATGTTAGCGAGGTCTATTTCTGTTCGAAGCTGAACCGCGGTTTCTTTTTATTTTGGTTTTAGATGCCAAAGATAATAAACCTTTGTGTACATGGAAATAAGATCGTATTTATAATAGTTGACTAATGCGATATTTTGGCTTCTTTTATAATTTTTCTTAGTGAAATTAGCGGAATATTTAAATGTTTTTTATGGTTTAGGCAAACGAGCAGACGGATTACCTAATGATAGGCAATCAACGCCGCTCATGGACACCAGCAACAGCAAAGGAGTTACGAGTGTGTTACCCGCCATTTGGGGATAACGGTTTCGGAACTTATGGATTGGGAAGAGATGGGGGGATATACATATATAAATGATGACATTAATTCTTGTCCTAATTAACTATCATTAGTACCTATAAATATAATTAATGTACTATTATTCATGTAGGTACCTTCTATTACTAGTTGATGTACTATTCCTTTTAAGTTCCACGTAGTAGTGGTTATCTATTAAATAAGAAATGAAATGAGAAATTGCTTCTGTCTATGGTTTTTGGCCCTTACCGTTTCATTTCCACTGAGGCTTTCATCGCCCACCTGGGGCGTTGTCGTCTATTTTGAGAAAGAATTATCAAGAATGTGTCATTCTTGACGCGTAACGCGACTAATTTTCTTTTATTCGGATGATGCCGCTGGCACGAGCTAATACTTACTTTTATAATCTGTGTTTTTATGTTACCTTTACCTTTTGTGTGTATTACCGTAACGTAACGTACCACGCAATACACAATGTTTTTTCTATTGTGTCTTATTTATTTACCGACTTTCAATGGATTGATAATAACCACATTATGATGAGATCTTCTCATTCTTCATCGTTCTTTGGAATTAATATCAACTTTCTTTATGTCTCATCATTTAACAATCCTTTTGTTTTGTTTCCGCGTCTTACGATTTATGTATCAAACCAGTTGTTATGTAAGTAATTTTCTTTAGTCCTCAATATGGTAGTTGGGAATAACCATAATCTTTTTGAAATGTGAACATTTTTAGCTTTCTGTGAATTATTTCTTAAGCTATGCTTTTTTTATGTAATAGGTCGGCAAACGAGCAGACGGATTACCTGATGGTAAGCAATCAGCGCCGCCCACGGACACCCGCAACGGAGGAGTTACGAGTGCGTTGCCGACCTTTTAGGAATTAGGGATTTGGAGATTTAGAAATTGAGGAGGGATTGGGGGAGGGGAAGGATTGGGCCTCCGGTAACCTCACTCACACGGCGAAACCCAACGCTGTGGTTGTTTAACGCCGGATTTCTGTGAGGCCCTGGTATCACTACATTCGAGCCGACCCATTCGTGCCGAAGCATGGCTCTCCCACACTTGCTGAATAAATTCAAACATTAGCTAGGTAATATATCCTGTTTCGATTGCGAGTACACGCGCAATAACGCACCGCGACCCTGGCCCAGCACACTGGCCCTGGAGAAGGAACAGGGTGGTTTTTAGTCAGCAAGAGTCTGACTGTCCCTCTGGCCTCACCCAGGGCGGGAGAAGACATTTGATAAAGTTCCCCTCTCAAAATAACAAACTCGATATATCACCATAACAATTGATGAATCCCAAGGCTACAGGGCTGATGTTCAGCCGGGGTTGCGAAGTAAGCGGAATGAGGCACCGCGCAGCTTCGGCCTAAAGCAGGAAAAGGAACGGAGGGTTTTTAGTCAGTAAGAATCTGACACTGTCTCTCGTCTTACTCTGGGCGGGAGAAGACAGTTAATGACTTTCCAGTGTCAAAAAAAAATACAGTTGATGAATGAGTGTCTTTTTTAATTTAATATATTTTGTAACATTGAAATGTATCGATATAATTCTTCATCTTTTTGACTAAGATAAATACACAATTATCACACTGTCACTTTTTAGTCTCTTAAGATGGAGGTAGATGAGCAATTCTCATCCATAATTGTTTGTTGATTTCTATGATTTCTCTACATGGGACTCGACACACTAGATTTTCAACCTTACCAATTCAAAACAAAGTTCACTTTAGTTAACCTTGTTGGTTTCTTTTTCAAAATATGATATCAATAACATGAAGTACTTACATCAACAGCACATCGTTTAAGGCGGCATCAGTCATAAGATCTATGATAAAAACATCATAATTATGTTTTCCTTCATCCGAATTGGGAGCCATGTTGCATATTAATACAATCAGATGCCCAATATGGCTGCCTCAAGGAAGAACCTCTTTTCCTGCACTGTTACCCTGCAGCTTAGGTTGTCAACAGTCTTATACATTACGACTTCAAAAGAGGTCGCATTTATATCACAATTTTGTATTTTTTTCGCGGAATTAATAGTAAGTTTTTGCATAGAACTCTTTGTGTACGTGTGAGTGGGTGCGTGCGTTTGTGTTATGCGTGTGCGCAAGTACATGTACGGTATGTAGGTATGCGTGTATTAATTAACAAAATCGTTGAATAAATTTTATCCTATTAGGTATACGAAGAAATCAAACATTTTACATTTCACGAGGTTGGTCGAATTTAAAATTAGAAGCATGGGCAATACAGAATATGCTTGTATTAATATACTTATTTATACCAATGAACAAAGAATGCAGCGAGATCAAAATACTTATATCCATCTTCCATCCAAATACAGGACGAAATACCGGTAACTGGCACCGACTGGCTACGTCACAACGTAATAATTGGTTTTTACCGAAATGTATTATTCATCGTAACACTTTCTTAGAACGATAAGGACAACACTAAAAAATAAAAGTGCGCTTAATACGAAACGGTGGCGCCACGAGACATCCCATCGAATTTGGTATTCTCCTTATGCAAAATATTTATTTTACGTGCTAGAAATTTTAATCAAATACTTCGATGAACATCCGAGTTCAAATACTGAACTGCCCACCAAAAACTACACTTCCACAAGAACATTATCTAAACAATGTTAAGTAGATTGTTATGTCTTCGACAGACAAAACTACGGCTCAAGGTCACCAGTAGCTACTTTTCTTGCTCGTCATTGGCCAGTGAAAAAGAACTCGCGCGTTAATAAATACAACTCTATATTGACACAGCTGCTGATAGAAACACAGGTGTGCTAGGGGTCAACGTAAAATGGTCTACAATACGTAAATTGCGCTCACCGTACGATCGTGCATATCGCCATAGATTGGAGTCGCGCGCACAACGCAGTCGTTCGGTTTATTTGAATTTCGAATTATGTATTGTTTTTAATCTCCAGCAAAAAGTTTTGTGTTTATTACGGTTCTTTTTTCTTCGTTTGAATTTGGAAGTGACTGTGTAATTTTGTTTTGTTTTGGATCTTAAAAATTTGGTCTGGACAGTGCCGGTATGTTTAACATTTTAATTATATTTCAAATACTATATTTTCTCTTCTCTGTAAATTAAAACAATTTACTGAATTAAAAAATACAAATAATAAAAATGAAATAATAATTAAAACATTGTTGTTTACATCCACATAGCGCGTTTTCTGCAATTATCTATCTTATATGTCCTTAAGTATGAATCAGTAACAATTCAATTACAAAACATGTGTCTAACGGTATTGTTAAAATATTTATTTAAATTATATAAATAAATTGAGGAGTCATTGGCTTAGGTATTAGTACAAAACAATAGTTAACCAATTAAAGTCGTGTTTTAATGTAGAAATGTCTTAAAATGCTCATAGGATATGTCATGTTTTGTAATATAATTAGGAAATATTCGTAAGACGATAGAATGTAGGTACGTGCTAATGTTCTTAGAAGTATGCTACCCTACATAAACGGTGTATTCAGAAGCATTTTCTCCGTGGGACAGACATGGAGGTATGTACTCAAACAATGCATGTTTCGCCTAACTGAAACGTGTTCGTTTGCGTTAAGAATTTGAAACTACAGCCGCGTACCCGAAATTGTTACCTACTACCTACCTACGTTTAATTTTGTAATGAAAAAAATTCACTGTTTTGTGTAGGTATCACGTTTTACGTGACTTCACATTCCCGGTGTTTTTTTTTTATTATTCTTCTTTTCGTTCCTTCTGAACGATTTCCTCCTGTTTTGGATTACATACTTTTTTTGTGAAGGGAAAATCATCGAATGACTTCTCCCGCCCAGGCTCGGACAAGAGGGAATGTCAGGCTCTTACTGATTAAAGCCTCCCCGTTCCTTCTCCTGCTCTGGACCGAGGCCGCGGTGACTCATTGCACTTATCCCGGAACACCGGCTGAATTGGATTACATACTTGATAGAATAATTCGACAGCTTGTCAGACAGAGTGTCCCTTGGAAAGTATGGTACACGCTCTCATGAATCCAGGATAATAATGCACCCTGGCCCCGACCAGGAGGCACGGTGTTCCCGACTCCGAATCTGACACTCCCTCTCGCCCCAACTAGGCAGAAGAAGTCATTTGATGATTTTCCCCCTCAAAAAACACTATAAACGAAGACTTCAGACCTTTTAAAAAAACTATCAAGATGCGTGAAGTCCCTCAATCGGTTCTTACGCGGGAGGATAAATTAAGAAAGTTAACAATTACCCATATGATACACATTCTGGTGTCACCACACGAGATAATGTTACTCTAAATCATATTTGATCTAATATAAAGTCCATTTTCCTGTATATAATAATATTATGAATTCATTGACCTCAAATATGCATAAACCATAAACAACAGAAACCGCCAAGATTTATAACCAACTGGCACATTTTATTATTATGAGTTTATTTATTATCACAGACAGACAGGGCATAAAGCTGAAAGATTGATTTCAATATCGAAATCGATCAATCTGGTTATAGACGTGTTGACTGTATATTTTGGATAAGAAAGAAGTCAAGGAAAACTTACATAAAATAATAATAATAAAAAAACTAAACATTTAATATGACACGCACAGTGTACGCATTTAAAGTACATATAACACACGCTACACATTTTTTTTTCAGTCATACTTTGTTTTTTTAAATTACTTGTCGCCTATTCCGCCATCTTTATAAATAAAGTACCAGTTACACTCATATGGAAGATAGTTCATTCAAATTCAAATTATGTACGTTCTAGTTCTAAATTTACTCTGGTACTTTATTTCTATTCGGAAATTTTGCAATAAGCCTTTATTATATGTATTTTATTATAAGCCTTATTGAAATAAAGAAGAAGATAATTTAAAAATAGGGATAATAAATCGACTTTAATATATGTATTTGTGTTGTTACCAGTTAAGTTAAATAGAAAGTATGTCTTTTTAAAATGTCATAGTACTAACCACGTCGTTCCCGACTCCAAAGGGCCTTTAATCTTTTATCACAGAAGTACCTACTCTTATTTTTTTTTTTATTAAAAAGGTCGGCAAACGAGCAGATTGATTACCTGATGGTAAGCAATCAGCGCCGCCCATGGAAATCCACAACAGAAGAGTTACGAGTGCGTTGCCGACATTTTAGGGATTAGGAATTTGGAGATTTGGGGATTGAGGAAGGATTGGGGGAGGGGAAGGATTGGGCCTCCGGTAACCTCACTCACACGGCGAAACACAACACTGTGGTTGTTTCACGCCGGTTTCACCCGCTGCTCGGCTCCATTTAATCGTAGCGTGGTTCCAATGATTAACCCCTACATACAAACTTACAAACTTACAAATTTTTGATCTTTATAATATTAGTATAAATAATTAATATCTTAGAGTAGGTAAGTCAAGATCACCAAAAAAAATACAACGAAAACACACGCAAAGATATGTTATATGATACTTTTACTATCATTTATGCAGGCAATGTTAATTGCCCAATGCAATGAGACTAAGAATTCCAAACGTGATGCTAATGTTTCGTTCCACTTCGAATACTTCGTTACCATCTGTTTTAATTAGCTGTTCAATTAATTTATTCGCTGCTGTGCAATCATCTCTATATTTAACAAACAAAATTCGTAATCTCGATATTAACTCCTCCGGTGTTACGGATGTCTGTGGGCAGCGTCGATTATTTAATGTTTTCCATCAGGTAATTAAGGACGTTAGCCTGTCTTATCAAATAAAAAATATTTTTATTATAACTTTCATGAGACATTCTAAATTAATGATTATGTTTTCGGCTTACTCACGTAATAATTTCAATTCAGTAACAGCGCAACAGTCGCCGAGTCGCGTGTCGCGGAATGCTGCTCATGAATATGCGGGCCTCTAGCATGGCTTGAAACGAGTCGAGTATCGCGTCAAAAATATTAAGAGGATAAGCTGAAAACATATTAAATAAAATAAAAAATAAACCAAAGGTTTGCTTCTTTTTTAATGCAAATTTTTCATCAGGTTACTCGGATTATACCTAAATTCGTATTTTTAGATACATAGGTAATTAAATATTTTATTAGGTATATTTTTAAGTTCGAACAGATACTATCACTATTAAGATATTCCAATCACGCTTACCAAAAATTACAAGGCCAAGGCGTCACTAGGCCAGGTAAAGCACTGAAACCTCCTTCAAGGTTGTAGGTGTTTAGGGACGGCAATGGCCATTAACTATCCAGTGACCATATTAACTTTACATTTGTTTTATTTTTTTTTAATGTACACAGCATCCCATGTTCGCATACTTGCATATAGGCCACAAGAATGAAAATAATTTTAAAATTTCCAAATATATTTTCCTCAGTCTAAAATCAAAGTAACCGATCACTCACTTTAAAATTAAAAAATAGAACAAATTAAAATAATAATCCATTTCATTTAATGAAAATTCAAAATATTTGTCATGCTTCCACACGAAGACCTACTTACTGCATAAGATAAGTGAAACCGCATTAACTCGTATTTTTTTATTTTATTTAAATGAATCAATATTGAGGTATTATTAAGTAACAACCTGACAAGACTTTCACTGTTCATTCTTTTTTGGATTTGACCTATATGAGATGAGCCAGGGGCATGTCAAGTGAGGAAAGGAAAAATCACTACATAGTATAAAACAAAGCCGCTTTCTTTGTCACTATATCCCTTTTATTTAATAGATAATGATTGAAGATGAAGATTTATATGTACATATATACTAACATCTATTGCATGGTGGAGAAGCTATGTATAGGTATTGCACCCGTGCCCGGGTGGGTCGCTAGTTAAATATAAACTACTAGCTATTTTGCCCGCGACTTTGTTCGCGTGCAATAGTGACTTCCTGCAGATTTTTGGTTAAAAAACTATCCTATGTCCTTTCTGAAGTTCCAAACTATGTCTGTACCAAATTACACACAAATAGGTTTAGTAGTTTAGGCGTGAAGAATTGACAGACAAAGAGAGTTACTTTCGCATTTATAATATTATTTTGGATTCTGGCGAGTTGTAAATTGAAAAAAAGAGGGTACGAAGTAATTCAAAAAACCTCTAAAAATCGAAGTCCATCGATTCAAAATTTTCAAAGAGTATTCTTTTCGCAGACAAATCGTCTGATGATCTTGGACTGATTTAAAAAAAACAATCTTTATTTTCTTCCCTCGTACCAGATAACTTGGCAGACTGAACAAAGAAGGAAGGGAAGTACATAATTAGGAAATTGCAGTAAAGTGAAGGTAATGAGCTAATTTCAGTGACAGGGACAAAATCACTAGTGTGGAGGTTAATGCGTGTTGCAACACTTGCATCCCGCTTGCAGAGGGAAATGAATAATCGTGCTCAAGTAGGTGATATCACTATGAGCAATAATCTTAGAACATGCCTTATGTTCCACGGTTTGTGTAATAATGCGTAATAACGCACCATTACGGTTCGTTTTCTTAGATAGATACAGAAATGAGTTGACAATTTTAATAAGCTGGATATCTCCGTTACAAGAAAGTGGTATGTAGTACCTTTTCTTGTGAGGGGAAAGTCATCAAATGGCTTCTCCACGCCCATGGGTAGGGCGGGAGGGAGTGTCAGACTCTTACTGACTAACCCTTCTCCCCCGTTCTTTCTCCTGCTCTGTTCTGGGCCAAGGTCGCGGTGCTGTAGTACCTATCCCTGCAATTATTGCAATGCTAAAGAGATTGTACTTTTCGGCATCATAATATTAGCAAACAAAGAATTGTTTGAACGTGTTTTTCTCCGTAACTTCTGGTTAGATTTGAACAAATCTTTTTTGTATTGGATAGTCTAATTATTGAGTAAGGCTTTATTGAGTAAAACATAACACTACGACCCATAGAAGCCGAGAAACGGGTGAAATCGCACGGGAGTAGGTAGTAATATAAGTATAAATCCGAAAATGCATTATTGTAAAATTACTGAAGTAAATAGTTCATCTATTAGTATTATTTAATGTAAATTGATTCACAAATTATTGGTTCCTTGGTCAAATTTAT